AATATCGTCAAATAATCGAGATCTCAATTTCAGTGAAAATAATCGTGATTATCATTTTTGCCATAATCGAGCAGCCCTAATTGCTACACACTGTGCCACGTTAACATGTCGATCTCAGATATTACAGGCAGGTGGATTCAGGAAATACTGGTCTTGAGTCTTTTTCACCTGTCATTACCCAAACCATGTAAATAATAAAGGGAACTATTTTTAGGTTTCATGAACTTTTATGCATTTTTTGCCTGCGTGTGCACTTGTGGTATGGATTCTATGTGCTGTTTTTTATAAATGTTCTGCATTTGTCACCCTGAATGTTTCACACGTCATTTAAAAAGTATGTTTGAAATATATTCCTCCTCAGACTATTAACCTTTTTAAAGAAAGCCAGAGGGTGCTGTTGCTTTAGCCTGTCTTTAGAGAAATGATCTAAAAAAAAATCTGTTCTATCATAAAGTTATTTGGCATACATAATCAAAGGTCTAATACTGTGGTGTCTCCTCAGACTTTTTCATCATACTACAAAGGAGGTTTTGAGCAGAAGATGTCCAAACGAGAGGCCAGTCTCATTCTGGGCATCAGGTAATGCCTCTTTTTTTGGTATAAATAATGTTGGTCTTCTAAAATGTGGCATATTTTTATCATTTCTAATTAATCACATGGATGTATTATGTTACATCCAGCCCAGCCAGCACTAAAGCCAAGGTACGAGAGGCCCATCGGAGGATTATGGTCTTGAACCATCCGGATAAAGGTAAACCTAAACCAGATCGATCTGTTATCTGTGATTATCTGTGATATTAATTCAAGAGATAAAGTTGCCTCTAACCAAAACCTGTCTGTTAGACTGCATGTAGAGCCGGTTTAGTGAGTTGCACCAAAATTGTTTTTGTGTTTGCAGGTGGTTCCCCGTATCTCGCTGCCAAGATCAACGAAGCTAAAGACCTTTTGGACAAAGAGACTCGCCGATGATGCACACTGTCAATGAGCACTAAAGACTTTCATCCCCCCTCAGCTTCAAAGTACTGCTTGAATGAGCATGAATACCGTGCAGGGGAAACCGCTAAAGTTCAAGAGGATCGTTAAAAGGATTCTTTGTTAAGCTGCCAGAGTAACTTGTGTTTAACTGAATTTGTCACCCCTGTGATTATAAGTTTAATACATCCTTAAAACCACCTGCTGTTATTTTACACATAGAAGTAATGTGTTGTATTTAAATGAAGGGGTTTGAAAGGATATATACACCACCTAGTGGCAGCTGGCTGAAAATGGAACAGTAATTGTGCTGAGTTCATTATTGGCTGTGTAAATATAATGAATAATGATCTATTTAAGCAGCAAGAGAACAAACTGTTTTCATATTTCAATGTTTTAATGTGGAAGTTAAAAAATAAACTTAATTTGCAAATATTCACAGTAGGATTTATTTTTATATATCAGTGCACCTCTTGAAATGTATTCAATTTAAAGTTTCAGAGCTATCTTACAGCTGTTCTATTAGAAATGTTGAACAATAAGCTGCCTTTGGCAACTCAAACCTTAAAATAACCATACATTTTGTAATTTACCTGCTGTTTCTTTACCTGTAGCCATACATTTACCCATTAACCTGTTTTATGCTTTGCTGTTTGATACAAAAATTATCATGAAAGCGACAAAAAAATCCATGAAGTTCAAAAGCTTTATTTATAGAAGGATGCTGTATTGATGTCATGGTACATGTGAATAGACAGAAGGAACAAAGCATATAGCAATTACACTTACAGCAGCAATTATTGGTCAAACACCAACCAGTTACTGAGAGGTTTGCTTGAAAAATGTCAGGGGAAAAAAAAAAAAAAGAATCCGTCCTTTTGGGATGTTGCTACGTTGGCTAATGACAACCAGATACTGGCCTCTGAGTGAACAGCACATGGTCTGATTTCCACTATGATAGGAAGTTTAACGTTTCAAGTCCTTGACAGACGTAAGAGTCATGAACACAATGTTACAACAGTGATGGATGACGTCCCAGAGACCGCATCAACGGGAAATAGTTAAAGTCCAACTGAAATGAAAAAAAAAAAAAAAAAATCGCTCTCCTTTATGCACATTTATTTGTTCGAATGTGTAACTACAGATATGAAGGCCCAAAACCCCTCCTCCACAAGAGTTTAAAAAGAATACAAAAACAATATTTTGAAATGTTTTTAAAAGAAAAAACAAAAACAAAACAGGGGGCAGTGTTCTAAAAGCCAAAACCCTAAATATATATCTGGATATAGCATGTCAGTCCATGATCAATATAAAACTGTATTAAATCAATAATCTGACATTTACATTTGATATACTTTATTACATCACACTAACCGCTGTAGTCACACACACTGCTCGACCCCAGCCATGGTCAGAGTGATCCATCTCCTTATCCTGGATCATGACTCACGTACAGGAAAATGGGATCACTTGAAAAAGAAACTACACCCACTCATTTGTACAAAGCAGTGTGAGAACTGTTGACTCACCCACCCTAAAGCAAGCCACGTCAAACAGTCTCTGCCTTCACTGTTGAGTTAAAACTCATTAGCACAAAATAATGGTAGCCGCTCATCCAGAAACTGAAAAAAGTATGCACATTCATGATCTTTAAAACAGTACCTGATGGTGTGTCTTGATGAAAAAAAATGGCCTCCTAGAAGCTGAATCATAGACACCTTTTCCTACTCCCATGTTACTTTGTTTAAACTACAGATGCAAAGTTTGCTGGTTACTTAAGTCAGTCCTTTAGTACATGTTTACCTTTACTAAGATGTTTGCAGGAACACAGCTCTGCCATCTACAAAGTGGCTCATGTAACATAAAATGAAGCATCTGAAAAGCTCTGCTATGCTAATGCTAACCTCTGTCTGTGAAGCCCTGCTCTTGCAGGTCAAAGTTGTTTTTTCCTGTGTCCAAGAAAATAAAGTTGGACTTTTGCTTTTTTTATGTTAAAGCAGAAAGAAATTCATCCAAATAAGAGCCTAAAAGCCATTTTCACTTAGCATAATTTATCTGAGTATTAGTTAACGCAGTTTACTACTCTGATGCCACTTTCTGTGAACCCCTGGTAGCAGAAGGCAGGTGTCCTTATTCTATATATGGTCTACTGTTTAAGGTGTAACAGGCTGTATTCCTGCATTATTCATTATTATAAGAGTTTTCATGGCTGGAAAAAAGGAATAACATGTGTAGCACGCCGCTAACATGAGGCTAGGAAAAAGGTGATTAATGTAGAGAAAATTTTAAACTTCAGGCAGACTTTAAAACAAATTCCAACGAGTACAAACCTTTTACTTTACACCGAATGAAATTTGTTCCTGATGCCTTTTTGAACTTTAAACATTTCCTCGAGTTCCAGAAAGCTGGACAGAAGCTTTTATTCCAGCCTGTTTGTACTAAAGTATCAGGACTGTTGATGCAGGAATGAGACCAACAGGAAGCACCATAGAAGCTCTGTCTACTGTAGGAATTGAGGAGGAGGAAGCAGTTAGATACAAGCTGGGACTATTCTCACCTGAAATGGATTATTTTACAGTTGATTATCATCAAAGGAGTAGACATTCCAGTAAACAATTCCAGTATTTTACATTTGTTATGTCTGATCTTCCAGAACCAGATGGAGGAAAGGTGTCCAACATGTTTATCCTCTTGCAGGAAGTGTTATGCAGTGATGCTGATGGTGCAGTGTAGTCTTAATGTAGGGAAAAGCCGCTGCAGTAAGAGAAGCAGCCGACAGAAGGCGATTCTGCCCTAGGCGAGAACACGAGAGGTCTGTAGAAATCAGCAGCCCTTCGCTGACAGGCTTCATTAAGGCTGCTTGGTTTAACATCGTCAGCGATCCATTAGCAATCCTGTGTAGCCCTCTCCAAATCTTCTTCCTGCTGCCCTACATCCTCCTCCTCTTCATCTTGGTCTTCTTTCTCACTAAGTTCTTCTCCAATTACATCTAGTCTTGCATCTTGCCCATTCAACACTTCTTCCTCCCTCTCATCCCCATCATTGTGCAGCCTCGCCTCCTGCAGTTGCAGCCGCCGCTCTTCCACCAACAGGAGGCGCTCTCTGACACCCTCTGCTGCTGCCGCCGTGTCAGTGGGATTCCCAAAGAACTGCTCGCTCCTGAAATCACAAGAACCCCGATTATGAGTTGCTTTTACATCATTACTGACAGGGACTAGAAATAGAGAGCATCCCATATCGGCTTCTCTTCAATGGCTCCCAGTTAAATTCAGAATCAAATTTATAATCCTTCCCCTCGCACACACGGTCTTGAATAACCAGACCCCATCTCATCTTAAAAACCTTATAGTACCATATCACCACAACAGAGGACTTCACTCTCAGACTGCAGGCTCACTTGTGGTTCTTAAGATACCTAAAAGTAGAATGGGAGGCAGAGCCTTCAGCTTTCATGCGAAATCAGCACTGTTCTTTTAATCATTAGTAATTATTAAACTGTGGCTCTCTTCCACAGTCTGTGTTTTATCCTCTCCTCCCTCATCTCCAGCTGATTGTGTGAGATGGCCACCCCTCTCTGACCCTGTTTCTTCCTGTTAAAAGGGAGTTTGTCCTTCCCACTGTTGCTAAGTGCTTGCTCAAAGGGTGTCGTTTGATTGTTGGGGTTTTCTCTGTATTATTTTAAAGTCTTTACCTTACAATATAAAGAGCCTTCAGCTGACTGCAGTTGTGATTTGGTCCTATATAAATAAAACAGAATTTAACTGAAAACTGAACTCATCAGGTTTGATAACGCAGGCATGTTTCAGAGGACCTTGCTGCGACATGACACCTGTAAGCCATGAGGTAGTTTATTACATTTCTGTGTTGATAACTGGCTCTTTATGTTAGGTTTATGCCAGTAATTACTGGTAACAAAAGCAAAGTGAATTCATGTGGCTCTAAATAGCCAAATAAGTGTTTGTATGATTTAGGATAGCATTAAACATATAAAGTCATAATTCAGGTACGTCAAATGAATGTGTACGTACCCATCAGGGAAGATCACAGGCATGGTCAGTCTGTCCAGCAGAGTTTTGCCCAAAGAGTCGACTTCATCTAAAGACTCCGCCTCCACACGTTCCTGCTGTAACACCTGGACCATAGTAAACATACAATTTAGACTTTAAATAACCGTGTGGCTTATTTTTAGTCAATAATGGCATGCTGACGCGTCCAGACTCGACACTGATGTAACATCTGACAGTTTAAAAGTGTTTTTCTCACCCTCTCAGCAGCAGTGTGGAAGTTGAGAGCCAGCTCCAGTCTCTGCTGTCGCTCCTCGGCGCTGACGCTGAACTGTTTCCAGACTCTGTTGAGGCGAGGCAGAGTGTCTCCGGACGAGCGCGTCGTACAGCGCAGAGACTGGCAGAGGACGACGGTGGCCTGCAGCAGTTGGCGGCCATAATCGTAGGTGCTCTGAAGGAACAAGAAGACAGAAACATATTCAGTTCAATAACATCTAATATTAATATTTAAATATAATCTGTTAGACTGACTGCACTTCATTTTGTGCAGACATTCAGACAGAAACGGCACCTGGATGATGAAACCCGAACGACATTTGTGATCCTTTGGCATCATTAGCTTCACAGTTTTGGTTTTGAGTAGCCAGCCTTAAACTAGCAAATGGATTTCCATGAAACTGGTTTGGACACTCTTCCAGCGAGATGAAACTAATTTAGTATGGCTTCTTTGAGAGTTTGAGTGCCTATTAAGGTCATACTAAAGCATCTCATCTTGAATTGAAGTCCAGACTTGACTAGGCAACTCCAAAAGAATCATTTTGTTTTTCGTGTTTTGGACTTGCTGTTGTGTTTCAGATCATGCTCCTTCTAGATAATCCAGGTGTGCTTGAGCTTGTCCTGAAGCAACAAAGCAACCACAGACCATCAAACTACTACCACTAGGTTTGACTGTTGGTATGTTTGTTTCATTAAATGGTGTGTTAGTTCCACTCCAGATGTAAAAGGACTCAAACCTCACAAAAAGTTAAACTTTTGTCAGTCTACAGAATATTTTCTCAAAAGTTTGGGGATCATTAAGATATTTTTTGACAATTGTGCGACGAACCTTTGAGTTCTTTTGGTCAACCTTCAGTCTCTCTCACTGTTAAAGCATGAACTCTGCCCTTAACGGAGGCAAGTGAGGCCTGCAGTTCTTTAGATATGTTGTTCTGTGTTCTTGTGTGAGCTCCTGGATGAGTGGTCGCTGCACACTTGGAGTAATTTTGGTCAACAGGCCATTCATGAAAGGTTTGCCACGGCCTCTTCCGGGGCAAAGGGGG